CGCGTCGGGGAGGGGCCCTATGCAGAGGATCGCAGCCACCGCTCGGAGAGGTTGGAAGGAAAGAGGGTCGGAGCAATGGGATTTCGAGGCCGAGAGAATGGCGATATGAGAATGACAGGCAGGGAAGGGGGGAGAGCGAGTAGGCGTGCTGTTGTTGATCCAGCAGTAGCTCCGATTCGAAGTGGGGACAGGACGTTGCGTATCTCTCTCGGGTTCAGGTGGGTAGGTAGTACTGTGGGTAAGAGGGGGGGGGTCCGATATGCAGCCTGTAGAGGGTTGCAGGTGACGGGAGGTGGTGGTGCTTGGGGAAAAGGAACAAGGAAAGGCTATGGTTCGAGAAGCAGTGTTAGCAAGAGCAGCAGCATGGACAAGACATCCTACGTCAGCTCCTGCAGCGTGTGGAAACCTATGAGCCGTACATTGCCGGAGGGGCGCGTCGTGTTTCGCGGTGCGTTGGTGTTTGTGTTTGGGGACAGAAGAGAGCAGCAGCAAGTGTGAGTGGAAAGGGTGAGTGCGTGTGGATGGAGTGGTGAGCAGACAAAGGTAAATGAATGGTGGGTGCACGTAGCAGCAGCAGCAGCAGCAACAGCAGCAACAGCAGCAACAGCAGCATGGACAGACGGTTGGGCCTGGGGCGACAGCGGGAAGGGAGGGGAGGCTAGTGGGAAGCTCTCACCTTGGATGAAAAGAGGGGACTGGACCACCTGAGTGGGGACCTCAGACGGTCGATATGGGTATAGGTAGCTTGGGGAGGGAACTATTTGTCGAGGCTCGGGCTCTGAGAGGAGGCATGGGCGGGCAGCATCAACGATGGATGCAGTGGATGTCAGGGTTTGCCTTCAGTCGGTCGGAGATTGAAGAGAACTGATGGAGATTTGATGCAAAGAGCGTCAAGTCTGAGATGGGTCGGCGAGTGAGAATGCACAATTTGGATGCGACCTGTCACATGAGGTGGCCGGCCAGGTGGGTGGAAGCCCGTCCGCTCCGTCTGTTCCATTGTCTTGTCGGCTTCTTCCCTTCACCAACTGAGGTGCGACTGGACTGGACACCGTGACGTGACGAGCTTCGTCGTGGGTGGTGGGCGCATGGCCTGGTTGGCTGGGGGCTTGTGCATTGAAGCGGCGAGGCAGGGGTTGCCGCGAGGCCGTGTCGCAGAAGAGCTGAAGGCAGGGGACAGGCCGCCAAGCGTTCCCGGTACCTAAGCTGACTGAGTTCGAGATGGAGGGCGCCTGCCTGCGTGTCCGAATCAAAAAAAAAAAAATAAAAAAAAAAAAATATTCTTCGTGGTATCCGAACAGATACCTTCTGGCCATATACCTAGCTAGGTAGCTTAAGGTCCCTTAAGGTAGGTACCTAGATTGGCATGCATCGTCTCTCCAGGGACGTCTCCAAGTATGTCCCTGATGGTGCCTGTGCCCTGGTAGGAAGACAACGGGCTGCTCCCCACATGAGCTACCCGCCTAAGGTACCTCTGAGGGTAGTACACGCCCTAGCGGTAGCTTCCAGCCTCACAGCGTCCCACTGGGGCTATGATGTTGAACGCATGCCAAAGCAGTGTGAACACAAATGGAGCTGCAGTCCGATGCTCACGCACGAGGCCAGTAGAGGTCTGTTTGGTTTTATTGCGACATTTCATTTTAAGCTATCGGAAACGATTTGTCTGTAGAAATGCTTGAAAGCTGAGCCATGTTCACCCACAAATGATACAAAGCTCTTGACGCTCTGTCCGCTCGCTCTCGTTGTTGCTCAGCCACAAAGCAACAGCGATCTCCTGCACCGGCCGGCCCGCCACCTCGGTGGTCCCCCCCCAATAATTATATCTCCAGCGAATAACTTGCTGCCATATCTTCTCACATCTTGTTGGCCTTGCCTCTCTATACTGTCCTCGTCTTCATTTTGCAATACAGAGATATCAATCCATCGTGGGCAGAGACTACGAGGCTCAGAGCTTTGGGCTTCCCTAGTGGTCATAACAATGCCCAGCCTGCGAGACATTGACTACCTACGATTCGCTCACATTGTGTCATACATCCAAGAAGACAGGCCTTGCACAGAGAGGTACACCTGCATATCTGCCTTGCTATCTAGACCATCATGCATTCAAGCCGATGGTGAAAGTCTATGACCAGTGTCAAGCCACAAGGTCTTTGTATACTGTGAGGCTGATGATGCTCAACTCGGTTGGGTTTACATTTGAAAAGTCTCCCGGAGCGGTGTATTGATGTGAGGTCAAGTCTTGACACACTGACCTCGCTGGTGGCGTTGCCCAGAAGGAGGCCCTCGTCGGAGATGTTAGTGAAAAGCATCGTGCGGACTCTCAGATGTCCGACTACATGCCTGCAGTGTGCTCATCGTATCAGTAAGAAAAGCGTAGGTATGATCATATCCAGCAAACCACAGACATGGTCTCGGAGAAGTATGATCATGACTCTGTGCCCCAACATCAGCATAGAGTATGGTAGTTGCGAATGCCGACAGCCTTGTCATGTTGATGAGAGAAGCTTCCTAATGCTTCATGCCAGGCCATCTGTGTCCCAAAACTCAATTTGGACTGTCTTTTTGTCTAATCTCTGCCGAAACCAAATCGCCTGGTCGTTCAGAGTACGCCCACAATGTGTCTCGGTGGCCGTTGGCTAGTGACCAAAACCTCATACGACAATCGCATGTCTAGATGCGCCATGAACGACCAAAAGCAGCCGCCGAAAATGCATCCATTCAGGGTATCTCGTCATCGTCATCGCCGCCGAACCCGAAACTGAACCCTCCACCCTCAGCTTCCGCCGGCCCTGCGCCGACTGCCTCCTCCCATTTCCGTTTTTTATGCACCGCCTTACTGTCCAAGATGCGCAACGCCTCCTCGAGTGCCTCGGGGTATGTTGCCTGCAGCCGCTCCACAAACAGCCCATAGGGGTCCTTCACATCGCGCTCGAAACCAGTCACCTGGTCAGCCTTGTCTCGGAGAAACGATAACGCTTCGGAGAGGTGGTGGAGCGAAGGCGACTTGGGTACAAAGTTCTGAGTCAGCGCAATACCGCTCTCCAGGTTGACCACGAGATGCCACCATCCGCTGGGGACGTGCAGGATCTCCCCTACATGGCAGACGCCCTCGATACACTCAGGCAGCTGCCGTGCCTCGTCATGGAAAGTCTCCAGCCACTCGGCTATGCTGATGGGGCTCGTCACCTCGCTCGCGTCCCTGGAAACGAACACGCCGGGCACCGACACGGAGGGCGGGAACATGATCCAGTATTTGGAGCCCTGCAGAACTGCGTTCCAGGCGCTCGTTGCGTTGGGGTCTTTGTGGAAGGTTGAGCCGCTGCGCTCGGGGCCAATGATCAGCCATCGGTGCGCTGGCCGCTCGTTTCCAAGAAGCTCAAAGAGATCTGGACCGAAGCACTCTGGCTTCCAATACGCTGCGCCCTCTTCACGACCCACTTTGATGTGCATCTTCTCAGCGAACTTCTTGTCGAAAAGATAGAGGGGGCTTTCGTCAGTTGTGTTTTGCATGTAGTCGTGATATGTCGAGAAGGGCCAGTCTACAGCCTCGGCACGAAACTCCACGTTACCGTATTGCTTCAAAATCGTCTCAATGGTCCAGGTCTGGAAGACCGGCCAATCCTGAATGCATTTCGTCAACACAAAGGGCTTTTCAGTCCATGAGGCTGCGAACTCATCATATGACAAATTGCCAAGCTTGGTGATTTGGTTACCACGGGGGATCTTGGTGGCAAACCTGGACAAGTCCAGATGGCTGCAGACAATGGCCTGTGAAGGACATCCGAGAAAACATTGCTGCAGTCAATCTTGGATTCCTGGTCAACTGCCAGCCCGAGCAGTGTTGCCCTCCAAGAACCCTGCCATTTCCCGCCAAACCGACCTGTCGTATGGTGCCTGGGAACAGTTAGTTTTAGCCTTTGCAATCCTGTAGGTCCTCGGCCACACAACACCGCGACTGTGACTCAGTCATACAGGATGACTGAGTGCCGTGTTTGGCCTCATCCCGGGCACCGGCAGCCTTGTGTTGGAAGAGGAAGAAGACTCACTCAAGGAAAAGGGGCTTCCACAACTCAGCAGACGAACAAAAGGCGTAAAGGAATCGGCATGTATAGCCTAACCGCCTCAGTGAATGCTGGTCAAGATATTCCAGAAACATCATGAGTGTCTCGTCGGAGAATGACCGAAAAGCGCCGGCAGAAGGGCGTGCCTTCGGACCTTCATGGAGAAATTGGTTGCCGAGAGGCTTCCCTCCTAAAGGGTGGGTGGGAAGGCTTGAGATTGACTCATGCTTCGTCGGTGTCATAGCATCTTCGGTGTGCGGCATGCTCAACGTTTGGCTCCCTGACGTGAGACGTGCCATTATTAGCCGCAAGGCCGTTCGGCCGAGAGATGTCGTTGGCCGTCATGTGTATAAAGCGATCAATGCGTGTGGTGGAGGGGCAGCCAGGTTGGGGCCCTGGTCTGGAGGTAGACGTGGGGGACTCGGCAGAAAGCTAAGACACTGTACAAAGGAGGAAGGGAAAAAAAAAAAGAAAGGATCAGGGCTTGACCACCATGTGACCCCAGGATGACTCGCTGGTCAGAGTTTCGCCTCACGGTCAAGTGTTCGAGGTCTCAAGAGAATGTTGACTGAGGCCAAAATAGTAGGGAAAAATCCATCTTTGGGACTCCCCTCCACTGACAGGCATCTGGCTGGACTAGGATGTCGCCGCTGTGTTGAATGGGCTGATGACAGTCAAGTGAGGTGGGGGCAGGGGCAGGCTGTGAGGTCAGTGCTGCGTCGGAAGACAGGCGTGGCACGGCTCAACATCGCTTAAAACCGTGGGATCGCCCCTGCCCCTCCTCTTTCTCCTATCGCTGGCCAACCACGTGACTGGCAAGAAAAAAAAATTAACGACTCTTCTCTTTCTCCCGTGCCGCCACACCACGACCACCCAGATCACTTATCCACCTCAACACCAACAACTTGACATTCCCCCCTGCTCTTTGATTTCTATCAAGAGCACTTAGACGAGTCTCAGATTAAATATCTAGACTCTCTTTGACGATTTTCCACGGTATACTCTACGAGTCTCCCGTGTGATTACGACAAGCCGCATTTGCCCGCCGACCAACAATCGCAACACCAAACCGCAATCATGGCTGACTCTCAGGGACTGGAGGAGATCAACGAGGGTGAGTGATCGCGACATCCTCTTTTCCGCCCTTGCAGTTACGCTGGACTGTGTCGCATCGCATCGCGCTCGTCGCATGGAACCGCGACGCAAGGCGACGCACCGCCCACCCACCTGCTACTACCCCTCAGCGACCCGTTGCTGACCAGCCTTACTACAGCGACCATCGAGTCCAACTGGACCGAGGTTTGCGAGTCGTTCGACGACATGGAGCTGAAGTCTGAGCTTCTCCGTGGTGTCTACGCCTACGTAAGTTTTTCTTCACCTCGTCGCTTCGTCGGCGAAATTCCATCCTCCCACAATATGTCGCATACTGATAGGCGGTGTCCAGGGTTTCGAGCGTCCCTCCGCCATCCAGGCCCGTGCCATCATGCCCGTTGTCAAGGGTATGTAAAGCCACCGACTTGAATCCCTACTCCCCCCTTCACCTCCCACTCACACAATGCGCAGGTAACGATGTCATTGCCCAGGCCCAGTCCGGTACTGGCAAGACCGCCACCTTCTCCATCTCTGTCCTGCAGAAGATCGACCCCGCCGTCAAGCAGTGCCAGGCCCTTATCCTTGCTCCCACCCGTGAGCTGGCCCAGCAGATCCAGAAGGTCGTCATCGCCATCGGTGACTTCATGAACATTGAGTGCCACGCCTGCATCGGCGGCACCTCTGTCCGCGACGACATGAAGGCCCTCCAGGACGGTCCTCAGGTCGTCGTCGGTACCCCCGGCCGTGTCCACGACATGATCCAGCGTCGTTTCCTCAAGACCGACAGCATGAAGATGTTCGTTCTCGACGAGGCCGACGAGATGCTTTCGGTACGTTCCACCCTTTTCCCTCTCTGAATTCCCACAAGTCGTCTAACACGTCTTGCCAGCGCGGTTTCACCGAGCAAATCTACGACATCTTCCAGCTCCTTCCCCAGAGCACCCAGGTCGTCCTTCTCTCCGCCACCATGCCCCAGGACGTCCTCGAGGTCACCACCAAGTTCATGCGCGACCCCATCCGTATTCTCGTCAAGAAGGACGAGCTTACCCTTGAGGGTATCAAGCAGTTCTACATTGCCGTCGAGAAGGAGGAGTGGAAGCTCGACACCCTCTCCGATCTGTACGAGACTGTCACCATCACCCAGGCCGTCATCTTCTGCAACACCCGTCGCAAGGTCGACTGGCTCACCGACAAGCTCACTGCCCGTGACTTCACCGTCTCCGCCATGCACGGTGACATGGACCAGGGTCAGCGTGACCTGATTATGAAGGAGTTCCGTTCCGGTTCTTCCCGTGTCCTGATCGCCACCGATCTTCTGGCTCGTGGCATCGACGTCCAGCAGGTCTCGCTGGTCATCAACTACGACCTTCCCGCCAACCGCGAGAACTACATCCACCGTATCGGTCGTGGTGGCCGTTTCGGCCGTAAGGGCGTTGCGATCAACTTTGTTACCGCCGAGGATGTTCGCATGATGCGTGAGATTGAGCAGTTCTACAGCACCCAGATTGAGGAGATGCCCATGAACGTCGCCGACCTCATCTAAGCGTCACACACACACATACACCACGCGTTTTGGGTCTTGGGACTAGGGCACACTCGGAGATCCACCCTATCACGGACGGACCTTGCATTTGGGTGGCGTGCTTCCCAGGACCGTCGAAGAAGGTCCTGTCTAGTCGTTGTTGTTTGTCGATAGATCGGTCGACGCTGCTTAGAGACGTCGCCTGGGGGCGCGGCTGGCCGGTTGCCGCGCGGCCAGCTGCGCCCTGGCTCATCAGTGGCGATCACAAAAAGTGGCTTCATTGCGGGCGAAGAAGGCTCATGGGTCTCTCCGGCACCTTAATGCTTCTGAAGGTGCGGACGGGAGCCATCGGAGAATAATGGGGCAGGTTCACGTCTCGATTTCTCTTTCGGTCTCTCGGTCTGTAGTTAGGGGGGGCAAATCATGAATCAGTTTCCTAATTACCAATGCTACACGATAGTGATGATATGATGTGTTGTGCACCAGGCACGGCGTGACTAGTGTGTATAGTCGGATGGCAGCTTGTACGGGCATGCGAAGCGTACTTGGTACCTAGGCAGGTAGGTTGTGGGCCAAATAGAGGGTTGGAAGCAGTGAGGGGCAGATGGAAATATTGTTGGATGTACAGCGCCCTAACGTACCCCGCCATTACCCCGCGGCGTCGAGGCACCCCCCACCGAACAAGCCCTGAACAGGCATGTGTCCAA